AATAAATAAATAAATAAATAAATAAACATCTGCACTTGTAAAATGGGGCCTTGACAGCCATAAGACTGGATGGGAAGACCAGGTGTGCTGATGAAACATTGTAAGGATTTTTGAAGAAGAGTTGAGAGAAGATTAAAATAAGGATTTTTTTTTAAAGAATTTAAACACAACAAAAGAATGACACTTCAGGAGCAAACATAGGAATGTTGTGGCAGTAAAAAAAATTGAACAGGCTCTGTGGGAGCTGTGTGTTGTCGTGGGGGGCAGGAGTCCTGCCAAACAACTCTCTAAGGTGCCAAAAAAGGCTCTGCACAGGTGCATAACCCATGTGTGTGAATTACAGAGTGCAATGAAGAACATCTAGCAGAACACAGGCATCCCTGAGCTTCAAGGGAACCTCTACTTTTTTCAGCATCAAGCAGATTGTATTCCTATACTAACTTAGCTTTCTGGAAGTTCTTCCTGAACTCAACTTCTTCTTAAAGAGGCCTGACAGTTTGTTACATGTCTGAACAAGTAACATCTGACAAGCAGTAACTGTTAAATCCCCCCACCCCCAAAAGATGAACTTTGACATTTCACATCCCTGTGGTCCCAAGTGATTCACCCAATCATTCTCAGCCACTGCCCATTCATTAATCCCCATGTGTCCTTGCATGCTTCACTCTCCTTTACGGCACTCAAATTAAATGCTTGACTTCCACATTAATCCATAGCTTGAGAAAAAGCATCAAAGGTATATAGCCTTCTATGGGCTCTATTGATTTGCACAATGTGATTAGGACACATCTAATAATTCTTGCTAGTTTTTAAAAATGAAATCCTGATACTCAGATATTCTCTGTGCACATTTCAAAACCGATAACATACCATAAGAAACAACAGCTGGCCACTGGGCTCCCATAGAGGCTTGTTCTGCTCATCCTGGTTTAAACTTACCATTTTTGCTGGCATTCTGATCCAGAGATGTGTTGGCAGAAATACTGTCCACAGTTGTCCACTTTCTCAGCCGGGACTGCGGCTCCTTAATACTGCCCATATCCATATTTACATTCAAGTTTGCGTTCAATCCTGCAGTAAGGGAATTTGTAAGAATAAGAGCGGCTTATTTTCTAGGACAGAGCATGGCCTTCCCCCAAGTGCCTTCCCTTCCTTGGATCAGGACAGACATGGCACAAGGGACTGGATGCCACAAGACCCCTGCCTTATCAGAAAGCAAAGCAAAAGACACGCACCCACACTACAAAGCTGCACTGGAAAAGTGCCACAGAGAAGGGAAAGAGACCGCTTTTCTTGGAAAACTTGCAAAGTTTGCTTTTCTAATAGGAATTTCATCTTTAATTTCCCCCTGAAGCACTTATAGTCTCCACTGCCCCACAGAATATTGCTCAGTCAAGAGTTTGTCCCAGGCTTCTCCTGCTGTACTCAACAGTGGTCCTCTATCCCTTGTATCTTTCCTCTGAATATTGCACAGGAATGTAGAGGTAGAGCAACAGATGGGGCAGGAAAACCAGGTTTGGAGTTACTGCAAATGGAGGCAAAAAATCTTGGAAGAGAAGAATTAGAACCATCCAGTCCTCTGTGCAGCCTCAGCAATGCTGGGCCTTAGAAGCTGAGGGCTTTTGCAGAAACAAGGAGGCAGTTTTCAGAATGCTCCAAGGATCTGATCTCAAAGTTAAGGGTGATCTCCTCATTCCAATCCTGAAACAGCTCCTACCAGCTCTTACTTTCACCTCACCCTCTGTGGTCATCAATCTGTAATTATATAAGGAATCCATGGCCAGAATCATTCTGGAGGAGTAGCAAAAAAATCTATAAGGAAGATGTAAGACCAGCAAGTGCAACTAGCAGCAAAATAAAAAATGACTTGGAGAAAGAAAAAAAAAGGCTTTGTGGAAAAAGAAACTAAATGATGTGAAAAATGACTGTGTTTAGCAAAACAAATTAGTTAAAGCCAGTTCTTGCTAAAAGAACACAGCAAATTGAATTCTGTACTTGAGAAGATTTAAAGCAACTACCAAGTGTAGCTTCATTTCAAATTAACACCTTTTTTTTGTGCCTACAAGTCAGTGTTGATTCCTGGAGACTGCCTGGATGGGTCCCTGCAGTTTTCTTGGCATCGTTTTCAGAAATGATTTGCTGTTGCCTTCTTTTTTCTAGAGCTGAGAGAGAGTAACTTGCTCAAAGTCACCAGCTGGCTTTGTGCCTAAGGCAAGACTGGAACTCATGGCCTTGCAGTTTCTAGTCTGGTGCCTTTAACCACTACACCAAAATACCTTTCAACACTCTTCTACCCAAGTGTAATTTGGTATTGTCTGGGATCGTGAAGAAGGACTCTACTGACTGTATTGGGTGTCAAATAGCCCCATCTTCTGCGCTGGACTAGATAAAACGACGTTCTATCCAAGTCCCAGAGAACTAACCCAGTAAGCTGTTGCAGCAGCAGCTCCTTTCCCACAAGAAGACCCAGGCAACTGAAAGTGATGGAGTCCAGCTGAAACCTATGTCAATGTTCCTTTAGAATATCATTTCTTCACAATACTGACAGGTCTTGGACATTGGGTTTTACTGACCTCAGAAAGCACTTTCACCAGCAGGATAAATCCTGTCTACAGAGCAAAGCAAATGGCTTCACTAGGCAGCCAATGGTCAAACCCAACTCCAGGAGACCAGAGTACACTGCAAGATATCAACCATCTGATCCGAATTAGCTTGGAGAAGAGACTCACCTATAGGAAAGTTGCTGAATGCATTGATCTGAGATGGCCCTTTCTGCAACTCTTGGTTAGCATGGGGCACAACATTCTCCAGGAAAGATTTTATGGCGGTCTGATGGAACTGCTGTTGTGATGGAGGCACCTGCTGCTTCATGAGCAGATTTGGATCAAGCTGACAAGATGGTGGCATCATTTGTTGCTGCATACTGAGAGAGCGATTCTTCAAGCACAAAGAGAGGACCAAATGATTAAACGATCTGTGATAACACTAAGCACAATCCACCAGCAGCATGATAAATACACTTATCTGGAATTATGGAAAAACTAGAGTTAAGTGAGATAGTTTCTTGTTCAGTCAGAAGACCACAACTATCAATTCCAAACCACATGGAGTCAAGTCTAAATGGTGAACTGTAACAATGAACATTTAAGAAAATCAGTTCTCCATTTAGGTCACAAACTGAGCCATTTCATAGGTGCTGATCAAATTTATAGATTGTCTTCCACATTCAATTTGCTGGTTAACATGAACATCCTCAAAGCTTTTGCTGCAAAAAACCAGGACATTCTTTGGGATTTGAATGAAGAGGACACAGTAATATAGATATTCTTCCAAGGTGCAACATCCACAAAGCAAGGTGCCTGGCTTCATATTCCATGGTGAGGTGCCCATTGCAACTGGTCTCCGTGCCTCCAAGTCAGCATTTCCAAAAGCTACCCAGACTTTCTAGGAGAGATCTCATTCGAAGCCGCCTGTCTGAGGATAAACTCTTAAAACACACACACACACACACACACACACACACACACACACACACACACACAACAGCCTACCTTTTTCTGCTGCCGCCCCCGGCCGCCCCCGGCCGC